ATCGATTATAAAAGACTTAATAAAATTATTAAAAAGAATTATTATTTATTACTTTTTATTATAGAACTTAAGGAAATATTATATAAAACTTAATAATTTACCATAAGAAATTTTAAAAAAATATTTAATTAAATTAAAATTAAAAAGAAAAACGAATAAAAAATAATATTCCGAACCTATAAAAGATTTTATAAATATTTAATTATATTTTTTAAATTTATTAACGTATTCACTATATTTTAAATAATAATTAATTATATATTTAAAGAATACGTCGATATTTTTATAATGATTTATTTTAACAATATTTTTATTTTCTTTTTTAATTTCGAAATATATAAAAAATACGTTTATATAGTATTTTAAAAATTTTAAAACGTAAAGCTTTTTATTAAGTTTAATAAATACTAATTTTATATATAAAAAATAAATCTTTTTAATTATATAGTTATATTAAAATAAATCTATATATAAGTATTTAAAATAATAATAATTAAAAACTAGTTTATATTTATTAATATTAAAAACGTATAGTTATTTTTAGGATTTATTAATTTTTATTAATAATTCTTTAAAGATTATATTAATATTATTAGACTTTTTAATAATCTAATTAAAAAAATATTATTTTTATCCAAGATAAAAAATATAAAAAAGCTTTTAATAAAGTTAAAGACTTAATTATTTTAAAATTAATTATTATAATTCCGGACTTTTAAATATTATTTAAAATTAAAACCGACGTTTTAAATTTTATTATAAAAACTATTTTAAAATAATAAGATTAATAAAGGAAATTTTATTTTTATATATTTTATTTTAAAACTTTTTATAAAATAGAACTAAATTAATAAATTTATAATAAAGAATTAATAATTATAATTAAAATTTTTAAAGAATAAAAACTATAACTTTTAAAAATTAAATACGAAATTATTATTTATATAAATTATAAAAATTTACGAATTTTATAATAAATAAGAATTTAAATAAATAATAAATTAAATAAAGCGAATTTTTATTTAAATTTAATTTCTAAATCGTTTATTAAAAAAGTTTAAATAACGGTAAAATGAATATTTTTAATAAATAACTTAATTATAAAATTATAGTTTTTAAAAAAATATAAGAAATTTTTAAAGGGAATTAATATAAAGGTATATAAAATTAATATAAAAGCATACACTTTATAACGATATACATATCTACTATCCTAATTAGCTCAAAGTTTTATTATTAATATATCCAGATTTTACCAGTCTACTCTTATATATTCTCTTTATTCTAAATTTCCTTTATTATTATAATTTTTATATTTAATATTAATATATATTACTTTTAATAATTAAACCCCAGCGTAATTTACGCCGCTAAGCTATAAAACGTAGCTTTAATAATATAATATACTTTTTAAAACGTTAACGTATAAATATATTATTATCTCTTTTTTTAATTAATAGCTATTTTAATATTAACTAATTTTATGAAATTAGCGATCTTTAATTATATAATAATTTAATTAGCGATTTATTAACCGAGCTATTATAAAAAACACAACTATTATCTTATTATTAACTTTATTATTTTAGAATCGAATTAAGATTTTATTTTAAACGCCGTTTTTTTAATAAAACCGACTCTTTTTAATTTATTATATTATTTCGATTTTTACTTATTTATAACGCCCCCCTTTTTAATATTAAATATTTTAAATTTATATTTTATTTTATATACCGTTTTTTAAAAAGGATATAAAATATTTAACGTATTATTTTTTTTTATATTTTATTAAAACGGAGTTTATTGTCCTTTAACGATAGTTATTAAAACCCTTAATAACGTATTTTAAAATATTTTAATAATACTTTTAAACTTATTTAATAAATTATTAATATTAATAAAAAGTTAATAACCGCCCTTTTTTAATAATACGAGCTAAGCTATTATTAATAAAAAATATAAAGTTTTTAAATAAACCTATTATTTTTATATTTACCTCCGCAATAAAACCCTTTTTTAAATTTATTATCTTTTTAAATTATAGTTTTTTATTATATTTAATTTAAAAAATCCTCTTCCCCCCTTTTAAATATTATTTTAAACTTATCGATTTTAAATAGTTTAAAGCTTATTATAAAGGCCTTTTTTAACCAATTTAATATATTTATAAAGGTTAACGGATTCGGTATTATAAAACAATATAAATATACCTCTTGAATAAATCGGTTTACATAATATTTATTTTAATATAATTAATTTAGTAAACCCGGTTTTTTAAAAAGTATAAATATCTAATAATAAAAGTCTCGGAAGTATAGTTATTAATAGTAAGTAATTATAAAAACGTAAAAAAAAAAGAAATAGTTTTTATATTACTTATTAAACCCTCGTTATAATTAACATAATTATTAACTAAGCTTTAAAATATTTATTTACTTTTTATATTAAAAGCTTACCTAGCTTATTAAGGATTTTATTAAAAATATAAGCCGTCGTATTAATATTTAAGTATATAACGTCCGTATTATTATATAAAAGTAATTCCTAGATTCCGTACTTACTTAACATAATATTTATAATATTAAAATATATTTAAATTAAGAAAAGCTAAACGATTATTTATTAACAGCCGTATTAATTAAATTATTTAATAAGCGATAGATTCTTTATATTATTAAATAGGCTAATAATAAGCCGGACCGCCTTATTAAACTTATTTAAACTTTTCTTTATTATTTCTAAATATAAAAGCGATTTTTAAAAATAATTAGCTTTAATAATACTTATAATACTAATCGTTTTAAACTTTTATTATTTTAAATAACTAAGTAAACGTGCTTTAGATTTATTTATAATATAATATTTAATCTTATTAATAATAAAAAGTTAAAAAGCTTCCGATTTCTTTTTAAAAATATAAAATAATTAATTGACTAATACTTAATTCGTCGCCCTATAATTATTATTATAAATTATAATAAATAAATAAAAACTATACCTAGCGAAGAGTTTCTAAATATTTAATAATAACTTGATATCTATTATATTAATTTTAATATTATATTTAAAACTAAATAAAAATAAATTAAAACCGGCGGTAGTAATAATAATAATAATAAGTCTAACGAAAAATATCCTTATTCGGTAATATAAATAATAACAAAGCTTAGTAAAAACAACCGCGCTTATATTAATATAATAATAAATTAAATTATTTTAAATACTTATTATAGGGTATTTATTATATAAAAGCTTATTATTTTTATTAAAATAAAATAATTTTTTAAAAAAATATAAAAAAAGCTTTATAATGAGTTTAATAATTAACGCCCGATTTTATAATATTTATATTTAATATATTTATTTATAAAAGTATAATAGGCTCGCTATTTTATCCATTAAAATTAAAACTTTAATATTCGTATTACTTTTAATATTAAGTTTAATAATAATAATATTAAAAACTACTTTTTTAATAATTTTAATTATTTATATCGGCTCGTCGACGTTATATAAAATATAATTAGCGATTAAAAGCTATATTTTTATTAAGCCTATATAAAAAACGAAATACTTATTAGCCGGGATTATCTTAGCCCCTATTTAAAATACTTTAATAAACTTCGGACTATAATTTCGTCGAGGTATTTTAAATTAATTATTAAATAATACCGGCTTATATATAAAATAATACTTTTTAAAAAGAGGCCGTTTTTACCCTTTATTAAAGAATATAATAATAATTATTTTATATTAATTAAATTAAGTATCCCATATTATTATAAAAGATTTTTAAAAATAACGGAATTATTAATTTTTAATAAATAAAAGGTTTACTCGTAATAACAGTTTTAAATAACGTTTTTTTTTAATCCTTACCGTCGGATTTTAAATTTAAAAATTAAAACGTTTTTTTATAATTAATTAAAAAATATAGTATAATAAGTTTTTATAAAGCTTACGCTACTTTAATAAAATTAATAATCTTAATATTAAATTATTATAATACGGGATAATTAAAGCTTAACCGGCCGTAAATAAGGCCGCCCGCCGGGAAGCCGTAATAAATTATTATTAACTAAAAGCTTATAAAAGGCCGGCTATTTAATCTCTAATTAGGCCCTAAACTAATTTTAATAATAAATAAAAAGTCAATTTAATATATTTAATAAAAGAAAGATAATAAAGGGTCGTATAAATAAAAAGCCGTTATAACTTAATATTTAAAAGCGATAAAATAAATAAAAAATAATATTAAATAACGGCGAATAAAAAGATTTATAATTATATTATTTTATTTATTACTTAAATAATTTATTATAAATTAATACTATAATTAAAGCAAAAATAATTATTTATTTGTTTTTTCGTTACCTTTAAAAACTTTATAAATACTTTATGAAAAATAATTTAAAATATATACTATTTAGTAAAAGAATTAAAGTTATTAAATAATTAAAATATTATTATAAATACCTTCACCGCCTTTATAAGAATATATTATAATTTTAAGTTAATTAGGATAGTAGATATGTATATCGTTATAAAGTATATACCTTTATATTAATTTTATATACTTTTATATTAATTTCCTTTTTAAATACGACGATAATAATAATTTTATATTTATTACGAAACTTTTTATAATAGTTAAAAAAATTAAAATTAGCTTATTTAAAAAAATAATTCTTAAATTGATTATAAAAGTTTATAATATTTAAATATATAGTTATTAAAATATTATAAAGATATAAAAACGGATTTAATAATATTATAATAAATCCCTTATAAGAATAAAAGTCGTTAAGTTTATTAAAAATTACGATATTTATAAAAAAAATAAAAATAGCCTTTATAAACTTTATAAAAAGCTATAGTTACTATTAATATTATTAAAAATATAGAATTTAATCTTTTAAGACTTTATTATTAAATTATTAAAGTCTAAGGAATTATTTATAAATATATAGTACAATAGTATTTTAGTTATCGTTAACCGATTTATTAAGTTTACTTATTTTATATTATATAAGGAAGCGAGTAATACTAAGGAATTAATATATATTTTCTTTAAAATAATTATTATTAACTATAGTTTACTTAAGAAAATAGTTTTTAATAAGGATAAGTTATTTACTATTAAATTTTAAAGATTATTAATCTTATAATTTAATATAAATTATAAATTATCGACTTTTTTTTACTTATAAATTAATAAATAAATAGAAAAAATTAATCAAATTTTTAAAATATATTTCCGTTATTATATAAATTATGATTAAAATAATTAGGTATTGTTATTATTAATAGCTTAGTTTATATATAATAGCGTAGTTAGTAAAAGTATAAAAGAATCCCTTTTCTATTTTAATTATAGATTTTAATTAATTATATATAGAAAAATACGTAAAGGATTATAAGTTATAAAAGCTATAATAAACGTAAATAAATTTAAAAAAGTTTAAAAAAAAGCCTTTTTAAACCTTAAATTTATACGATAATATATAAAGAAATACGCTAATAAATTAAAAGTTAATAAATTAATTTTAAAACAAAAAATAAAATATACCTTTTCTATTATAATATTAAAATGAAATAATTAAATAATAAATTAAATTATAAACAATTTAGACCTTTTAAATTATTAAGAAAGTTTTATTAATTAATTTTGAATTAAAACTTTTAAATACGATGCGATATTACTTAGTTTTTTATATTTTATTTTTTAAATCGGTATTTAAAAGTTTATATATAAAAGATTATATTATCGTCGAACTTAACGAATTAAAATACGAGGTCGAATAAATTATTAACTACTGAACTTAAAAAAGATAACAAAAATGTTTTATTAAATAGAAAAACTATAGATATAAAAATAATATATAAGAACTTATTATAAACTTTTAAAACTTTTAATAATTTTTTAAAAATTATTGAAAAATAAAATTAATAGTTTTAAAAACGCGAACTCGTTATTAAATTTAAAAAAGAATTAATTTATATTATTAAGAATTTATATAAATTATAACTTTTTAATTATTTTATATTTATATATATTTAATATAAATTTTAAAATATTAAATTTATTTATTCTTTATATTTTTTAAAGAAAAGTCTTAGTTTAAAGATTTTATATTAACTTCTGAGTTTTTTAAATACGAGATAAGTAATTAATAATAATTATTATTAACGATTAAAAACGGGTTAACTCTTTATAAAATTTTAAAAGTTTTTTACCTACTTTTTTTTTTTTTTTTTTTTTTTTTTTTTTTTTTTTTTTTTTTTTATTTTATATTTTTTTAATATAATTTTTTTTTTTTTTTTTTTTTTTTTTTTTTTTTTTTAATTATTATTAAGTTTTTAAATTATAATTATTAACAATTACGAATATAATAAAAAATAAAAATTAATTTATAAATCGATATTATTAATCCCTTATTATAAAACTTTTTTATTTTTATATAAATTTAATAATAAAAAAACCTTTTATTAAACCGATATATAACCTTAGTACGAAAGTAACGAGTATAAAATATATCAATATTAATCGTACGAGCTTTAATAAACTCTAAAAGTATTAAATACTTACGATTTTTTATTTTTATTTTTTTAAATTTTATTTTAATATTCGATTTTTTTATATAATTTAATATAGTATTAATATTATAAGAAATAATGAATTAAAAATTTAATAAGCCTTAATTTAAGTTATAAATATTTATTTATAAATTTATAAAATTAGATTTTTAAAAAAAAGACTTAATATTATAATTTAATATATATAATAAATTAAAAACTTACCCCGCTACTTTATAACGGCTATTTTGTTATATATATAATTAAATAATAAAAATATATATATTATTTTAATAGATTAAAAGAATTATAAAAAAGTTATATAATAATAAAAAAGACCGACGGATAATATGCGGTTTTTAAATATAAACTAATAAGATAAAAATCGGTCTATTTTTAAAAAACCGACTTTATAATATCGGTTTTAAATATAAAAGAACTATTTAATAATAGATAGGACTTATATATAATATAAATTTAAATTAAGTTTAAGTCTAGACTTCTATAACTTTTTTAATAATTAACTTTATATTAAATTTTATAATTGTTTTCAGTTATTTTTATTAAGAACTTATTTAATAAGATTATAATTAATTATCAAAGCTTTATTTACTTTATAATTTATAAATAATAGTTTTATTAAAGCTATTCTTATAACGAATATTGTTTATAAGTATCGTAGCCTTGACTTTTATTAATATAAACCTTATTACGACTAGCTGGCCGTAACATTCGTACGAAGGTGTTTAAAACGTTAATATAATTTTTAAAATTAACTCTTTATAAAAGTTTTTTTTATTTTTATACGATTAAAATTAAACAATAAATATTTTTATTTTTTTAAAATTAAAATTATTATACCGTCTCGTTATATAATAATATTATTTATATTATTAAAATACGTATTTAGACGGTCTATACTTTTTAATAAAAATAAAAAGGGTATTAAAATATTTAAAATATAATAAATAACTTATTTAATAAAGTTTTTAATCTTAACCAATTTTATAAATAATATACTTTTAATTATATTAAATTATATATTTACGGATTTTAAATTCTAATTAACTTTTATACGAAGGTACTGTTTTAAATATATTTAAAATTAAAGTTTCTTTATTATTAAAAACTTAGCTATTTTTATGTCTTATAACTCTCTTTAATACGTTATAAAGTATATATTATATAATAAAAGAAATTAAATATTAATAATTTTAAAAATAATAAATATATTTTATCTTATTATATAATATAAAAATATTAATATTATAAAATATATTAAAATAAATTCGTTACTATTTTTTTTATTATATAAAACGTCTTTTAATTAACTTTTATATTTTAATAAATATATTTTAAACTCGTTGTATAAATTTTATTATATTCATAAATAGTTTTAAAAAGATTATTTTTTAATTTAATTACGTTTTTTTATAAAATAGTTCCGACATTAATAATTTATTTTTTTTATATATAAAGTATTTATTATTTAAGAACTTTTAATATTAAAACGTTAAGTTAAATAATTATATAAAAAGTTTCGTATTATTTTTTAATTTTTAAAATAGCTTTTTTAAAAAAAAAAGTTTTAAATAATTATATAATAATTTTTAAAAATAATAAAAGTTTAAAATATAGCGGTAATTAATATAATTAATATTATACGATATAAAGGTCCTATTTATAGCTATTTAAATAAATATTTATAAGTTTAAAAAAAAGCGTTTTATATATTAATTTTTAAAGAATTATTATTAATTTTAGTTTTAAAATACCGCGATATATTTTAATTATTATTATATAAAATATAACTTTTTTTTAATATTTCTTTGAAAGTACGTTATACGATTTAAAGTTTATTTAAAAATATTTTTAGTACCTTAATAAATATCTTATTTAGGTTTTCCTTTTTTATTTATATAAATATAAATATTATCTAATTAGTTTAATAAAGATTATAATTAATATTAATATTAAAATAGCTATTTAATATATTATAGCTTTAATCTTATTTCTTATTTAGTTTAATATAATATAAATAAAGCTCTTTTATACGATTAATAAGTATATTTAAAAAAATTATATAATATTAATCCTTTATAATTTCAAAGCGATAATAAAAGTTAATAAATACCTAGACCTTATTATAAAAGATATTATATAGTTTTTTAATATAATTCCTTTTTTTTTTATCTTTTTTAAAATAAAATAATTATAATAGGATTATATAAACTATTTTAAATTAGTCGTTTTAAAAAAAAGTCGTATATAAATATAAATTCTTTTTAATTTAGAGTTATATAATAAAATATTTATAAAAAAGTTTTGATTTTTTAAAAAAACTTTATTTTTAGTAAGGTTTATTATACGACTCGTTTAAAAGACTTACTTAGGGTTAATTAATTAATAATATTTAATTAAATAAGTTTTAATTTGTATATCTATTTAGTTTCTTTTTAAATTATAATTTATAATAGTAAAAAAATAAGTATAAGGATTATCGATATATAAAAGATTAATTTTTATATATTTTATTATTATAAAGCCTTTTTTAACTTTTTTTTAAAAGTATTTTTAAGTTATATAAATTAATTAATATAATTCTTATTTATTAATATAAGAAGATTATTATTTTTAAAAATTCGTACGAATTCTTTTAAAAAAAATACGGTTTATTTAAAAAAAAAATTTTTTTATCTATCTTTTAAAGTCTTTAAAAAGTAAAGTTCGTAATAATCTTTTTATTAAATTAAATTAAATAATATTTATTAAAGTTCGTGCGAAATAAGTAGTTATTTATAAGTTTAATAAGTTTATATAAAAGTCGACGGGGTCATCTTAAGATACTAAATTAATTATATTAATCTAGTTTTTTAAAAAAACTTTACTCTTATTATTAAAGTTTTCGTACGTCTATATCGTTTATAATTTAAAGTCTAGTTTAATTAAAAATTCGTTTATTAAAATATTAACTCTAATCTCTAATTAAGCTAGTTCTATTTTTTTCCTTTTTAATAATCAAAGGTTTAAAAATAATATTAATATAGTCTTAATAAATAATAATTATATTAAATTATATAATATCTTATTAAATTTATTATATAATAACGTATACTATTAATTTTATTAATTATATAAAAATAATTCTTTGTCCGGTTTTATTTTAAAACGATAATAAAGAGTTCTTTTTATATAAAAATTAAAATTAAAAGTCGTCCTGAACTTCTTTTATTTAATTTTATCAATTAAATAATATAATTTTAATTTAAAAATAAAATATAAAAAGCTCGTACGGCTTAATCTACGAGCTTAAGTTTTATCTTTTTGTATTAATTAATTTATAAATTATTTAATATAATTTACTAATTAATATTAAACGGACTAAGGAGGATATATATATATAAATCTTAGTAATAAATTAGTAATTAAAAAAGTAATTTTATTTTATAATAATTTTTTTAAATTCGTATAATAAAAAAGGCGTTTTAGAATAAATCTTTGTACGCGACTAAAATTAATTATATATCGGAATATCTATGTAACTAAATAAAGGTTTAATTACTTTTTATATACCGTACGTTTAGTCTTAATTATTATTATTTTAATAATATTAATATTTATTTTATAACCCGTAAAATAAAAAATAAAATAAAAACGTAAATAATAAATTATATAATCTATTTTTTTTTATAAATATAAAAAATAAACTTTTAATAAAAGTATTTAAATATTAAATAATTAAAAATTAAAAAAGTCTTTTAAATAAATTAAATTTACGCTTTTTTAACAAGAATAAAAATAAAAAAAGTAGTTTTAATAAACCTAAACTATTTAATAATTAAATTAAAGAAAATTTAAAAATAAAAAATAAACTTTATAAAATCTTATTTAATTTAATCTTTTTTTTAACTCTTTTATTACTTTTTAAAATAAAAAATAAAATATTATTTTAATAACGATTTATAAATAAAAACGAGGCTATTATAAGATTTTTAAATTTAATTAGCTTATTATAAATATTTATTATATAAAAATAATAAATATCTTTATAATTTAATAATAAACATTAAAAAAAAAAGCTAAGGCTAAAGTAATTTTAAAAAAAAAAACTAAAAACGAATTTAAAACGGTTTTTTTATATTTTTTAAAAAGAAATAAACTATTAAATAATATTAATTCGTTTAATAAATATATACACCTCCTAAGTATTTATTTAAAAAATATATATA